CGGTCGGCACGAGTTGGTTCGTAAACTGAGAGACGACCAAAATCGCCTCCGGCCGACCGGCTCGCTCCGCACCGGAAGTACAAAAATCTTTTCGTCCGACCAATCGTCAAGCCGGATTTCAAAAGGTTGAGGTCAACTTGACCTTTTTATCGGCTCGCTACTTCGGAAGTACAAAAATCTTTTGTCCTCCGAGGTAATTTTGGGCCTCTCTCAGCTTTGCAAACCACACGCAAATCATCAAAATGGCCAAGACTCCCTCCAAGAAATCCGCCAAGGCGCCCAAGAAGGCCGCCGGCGGCAAGAAGAAGAAGACGCGCGTCGAGTCGTACTCCACGTACATCTACCGCGTGCTCAAGCAGGTGCACCCCGACACGGGCATCTCCAAGAAGGGCATGTCGATCATGAACTCGTTCATCAACGACATCTTCGAGCGCATCGCCCTCGAGGCCTCCAAGCTCTGCCGCTTCTCCAAGAAGGCGACGCTCTCGTCCCGCGAGATCCAGACCGCGGTCCGCCTCATGCTCCCCGGCGAGCTCTCCAAGCACGCCGTCTCCGAGGGCACCAAGGCCGTCACCAAGTTCTCGTCCTAAGCGCGAACTCGGCGACCGCGACCGTCGCCCCTCCTCGGGGGAGCGACGCCGTCGCGTCGGTCACCACCCACAACCACACCGGTGTTTTCGAACACCACCCTCTCGACGGAAGACTTCCCGACGGCTCGACGCGCTCGCGACGGCCCAGGCGGGTGGGCGGCGCCGCGCGCGCCCCCCCCGCGCCCCGAGAGGAGGTGCGGGCCATCGCGTTCGCCCGCGCGAGCGCGTCCGGTCGCCGCGCGGCCGGGGCGACGCGTTCGAGCCGGGGTTCGCCGACTTGTTCGCATCGACCGCGACTCCGCCGCCATACGCGCTCCACCTGCCCCCCTCTTCTCCCCTTCCGCTCCCGTATCAATCTAAAAAACACTCCGTCGTTTATATCTATGTGCGCACGCTTACGCACCCATGCGTCGAGCGCTCCAGGTCGGGACCGCCTCTAGGACGTCGTCGGGTCGTCGCCTCACGCGTCGCGCATCAATGAGAGACGTATCATCGGCCTAGACCAGCGTCGCGCGCACGCCCGACGCGTCGCCGTTGATGCGGTCGCGCGCGGCGACGGCGTGCTCGCGCGCGTCGAAGGGCACGCGGCAGCGGCCGCCGACGGGCTGCGGGACGCGGCCGAGGCGGACGCTCGCGTCGTGGCCGTGGCAGAGGTCCTTGACCTGCTTCCAGTCCATCGGCGGCAGCCCCTCGAGGTCGAGCGCGGCCGAGTCGTTCTGGTCTCTGGGTCGACTCGCCTGAACGGTGCACTCTCGCGCGCGGCGTCCGCTCGGGCCGCCGCGCTCCCGCCTCGGGAGCCAGGCGTCGTCGGGGCTCAGGGCCTCGAAGGCGCCCGCCCCGCGCGGCTCGCCGTCCGCGCCGAGGACGGCGAAGGGGAGCGGCAGGGTCCCGAGCTGGACGTTCGTGAGGACGACGCCGAGCTGGAAGCCGCCGCGGCGCCACCCCGGAGCCGAGAGGTTCGCGCTGCCGACGTAGACGAAGCCGCGGCCGCCGCGGCCCGCGCGCGCGACGAGCTTCGCGTGCGACGGCTCGTGGCCCGGCGCCCCGTCCGGCCGCGCCGCGACGAAGCGGACGAGCGCGGCGCCGCGCTTCTCGGCGACGCCGACGAGGCCGCCGCGCGTCGCCGCGTAGGCGCCCCCGAGCCGCGGGGCGTCGCCGCGGCGCGGCCAGTGCACGAGCGCGACGTCGCAGTCGTCGGCCTTGACGCGGAGCGCCTCCGTCGCCGGGCTCGCGCCGTGGAACGACGAGTAGCAGTGCGTCGGGTCCGCCGCGTCGAACGCGCCGGCCATGCGCGCCGCGACGATAACCTTGAGCCGCTTCGCGCCGATGGCCTCGCCCGGGGACAGGGCGTCGACGCCCCGCGTCGCCTCGGCGACGGCGCGCGCGAACTCCGAGGGCACGACGGGCACGAGGTGCGCGTCGTCGCCGGGGTCGACGTCGAACTCGCCGAGGAGCCGCGCGGCCCAGGCGTCGCCCGCGGCCGGGTCCTTGGACAGGA